CCTGGCCCCAGACTATTTTCACAGCCGTGCTGTGTCACAATTGAGCTGTTTGCACTGAAATTGAGCTGTTTGCACAGAATAAAGTTTCCTTCTTTGCACAGAATAAAGTTTCCTTCTTTGCTGTAGCCCAAGTTGGGGATTCTTTTGGTGTTGAATTGATGCCATCAACCTTCAGTTGCTATGTGTTGGGCCCTAAGATGGTCCAGAGGTAAGACAGATGCTTGATCTCAAGGAACTCCATGCAGGTTAAAAGCAATTGATAGGGTATGGATTATGAAGACAAACTTCTGCAACAGAGAAGTGGCTATATGAGAAGAGCAACATGCTTGAGGAGTCAAGTAGAGGAAATACAAATCAATTCCATATGGGGAAATCAATTCAACATATCTTTTTTAAAAAAAATATGTTTCTATTGATTTTAGGGAGAAAGGAAGAGGGAAACATCAATGATGAGAGAGAATCATCGATCGGCTGGCTCCTGCACACCCCTTACTGGGCATCGGACTGCTGTAAGGTTTAATATGATTTAAGCTATCTCAAATTTTTCCCAATTCCTGACACCAATATTAGATTTATATAGAAGTTCTATTATAGTAAGAAATAGTTGTTACAGTGAGATCTGCAAACATATACAGAATTATATTAAAATTCATATAGAATAATATTTACATTTTTAAGTTACAACTTTGAAGTTAGAAGATGAAGTATAGCTTAAGTTTTACAACAAAGAAGACAAAAATACACAAGACAAAAATAGAGTTGACAGTAAAAATATATCTGTTCTTGATACAACATGTGGAAACTTTTGTCAGAAAGCTACATCTTCTTAATCTGACTGCCCAAATCACTAAAATATGGATGAATCAGTGCCATTTTGCCCGAAATTCGTTTGGCAGGATCATATACTAACATTTCCGAGAGAAGATCCAATCATCTTCATCCAAGTTTTTGACATGGAATGACAAGCTTTCTGGTTTCCCTGGGGAATGTATTCTTAATGTCCTGTAAAGACTCCACGTCTGGCCACACATCATTGTTGGGGGTACCCAAAGGCTATGAAAATTCTGAAGCGTTGATCAATTCCTGAATCCCCATGGAAAAGCGGTTTCTTAGTTGCTAATTCTGCAGATATGGCGCCTATACTCCAAATGTCAGCTGGAGTCGGATAGCGAGCTGGCCCCAGCAACACTTCTGGAGATCTATACCAAAGTGTGACCACCTCTAATAGGTATTCCAAACGCTCTGGCAAGGCCCAAATCAGCCCGTTTAATTGTCCTTTGTCATCAATCAATAGATTTTGAGGTTTTGAGTCTCTAGGACTCTTCTAGAGTGACAAAACACAATCCCTTGTAGGATTTGGTACAAATAACTCTTAACAGGTGCAGAATCCATGAACTGACCAGGAGGGATAGAATCCAAGTATTTCTTTAGATCCATGGAAAGATATTCAAAGATGAGATATAACCTGGAATCTTGCATGAGCACATCTTGAAGACTGACTATATTTGGATGACGAAGTTCTTTTAACAGAGAAATTTCCCGAATTGCTGTACTAGGAACCCCTTCCTCTTCACTTTCCAATCTGATTTTCTTCATGGCTACTGTTTGACCTGTAGTTTTGTGTCTACCCTTACACACAACTCCATAGGTACCGTCTCCAATTTTCTCTATTTTGGTATAGTCATCCATCGTCAGTCAATAGCTATGGCTACCACGCCGGCCTCGCTCTGTCCTTAACTTCCCAGGTCCGGCTTGAAGCTAAGTGCCTCAACAGGTATCGTGAATGAACACATGATGCTAAAAGTGTTTTAGGTGGCGAGGTCATTGTCAGAACTTCACGGGTGAGGGAAGCAAGACAGCACAGCATGTCCCACCACCTGCACAGTCACGGCGCTGCGCGGGGGGAGGGGGAGGGGGGGGATCGCGGGCTAGCGCCTTCCCCTGACCACCGCCCCTTAAACAGGAGGGGGTTCCCCGGCGAGCACCGCGAGGAAAGGAGAAGAGCTCACCCCCCGCTCCGCGAGCAGCAGGACTGTTCCCAAGGAAACAGTCACTGGTTCCCAGGCCGAGATCTCGCGGGGCTTGAGCTGCGGAAGTG